AAAAAAAAAAAAAAAAAAAAAAAAAAAAAAAAAAAAAAAAAAAAAAAAAAAAAAAAAAAAAAAAAAAAAAAAAAAAACAAATGAAAAATGAAAAATAACTTTTTTACAATAAAAATTTAAAAATAATAAATAAAAAAAAAATATCAAAAGAAAAAGTTTTTTTTGCTATTGCTAACTTACTACTAATGCACTACCAATTGAATCGGATCGTTCGCTCGCTCACTCCTCTTGTTCACGTTCTTATTTATCTATATCTATCTATTCGTTAATACTTTTGGCATATTTAGATAATAATTCTTCACGTTTTTTCTCCCATCGTCTCCATTCCATATTTCCAAACCCATTATTCGGAAGAAAATCATTAGTGTGGTGAGAACCATTATTGTTATTGCTGTGAGTGTTTGAATTGTTAGTGGTGGATGAAGTTGGTGGAGATACATCTGGAGTATCATTATTGACCCATACAACAGAAGTGTTTGCATGGCCAGCATAACCAGCACCGTTAGTACCATAACCAACACTAAGATTTCCGTAGCCACCATAATTATAACCATAGCCACCATACAAATAATCATCTGTCGTACTGTTACGCCAATTTCTACCATAATTTGAAATATTATTTGCCGTGCCAATGCTCACTGTTCTAGTTCTACGTTCAAACGGTCTATTACGATTATAATTATAGAATGATGCACGTCTGAAATGGTTTGTGGCAATTGAATCGCCTAGTAATAGTGGAGATCTCTCCTCGTCTATACCACCGCCACCGCCACCACCACCCCCTCTGCAACATCTACATATACAACAACAAAGGCATAATATTATCGACAGTAATAATATACCAAATAAAGCTGATGTTATAGATATAAGTGCCTGTTGGTGTGTTACTACAAATTATTGAAAATGAATTGATTAATATTTTTTAAAGAATCCTTCCATCTAATATATATATATAGAAATCATATATACCAAAACATTGCGCATATTCATATTCCCATCTATTTTTACCACAAATTAATCGATTTTTAAATGGCGCGTCCCAAGATCCTTGTACGCATTCACCCGTCTATATAGATTTTAGATGATTAATAAAGATCAATATCGAACCAATTATTGATGATGGCGATGTTTAACTTACCGCGACACAGTATCCACATTCTAAGTGACTCGTACATTCCCCACACGAAGTATAAGTTGAACAGTCTATTTCTAAAAATTCAATAATTTAAAAATTTTTTTTTAAGAAATGATTTAAAATTTTTTGAATTTTTTCGGAATTTATGAAATGTTTTTTACCTTGATTTAATGTCATATTGGAAAAGACAGTTTCTGATAATGATTTATTATTATTATTGTCATCATCATCATTAATAAGAATCTTTTTATGTGATATGGCCGATGATAACAGTAGTAGTAATATTGTTGTTAGAATAAATAAAATTATGATATATATACGTTTTTTATTATTTTGATTGTACAATAATAATTTTTCTTTTGTCAACATAATTTATTTTGTCGATTTTATATAATATATTTTCGAATTTCTTTGGAAAGAGAAAAGGCAAAATAATTAAAAAAAAAAAAATCTTTTTTTTTATTTTAAATATAATATGGTTATATATAGTTATATGTTTTTTTTTTATTTGTTTATTGTGGAAAAAAAATAATTGATTTTTTATTCAAAAAATATAAAAGAAAATTTTTAAAAAAATAAATATTTATACATTTTTTTCGTAATAAAATAAAATAAATAAATATAGATTAATTATATAATATGTGCGTGTGTATATTAATAATAAATGTATCGACCCCCTTTGAATAATTATGTCGTTGTACATATATAACAAAAAAAAACTTTAATGTTTTTTGTATATGATGGATGTGTTGTACATTTGAAATATAAAATATTATATTAGATGTATGTGTGTATAATAAAATATTTACACATAAAAAATTCGTTCTTTTCGAAATAAATTTGAAACAATTAAATATATGTATATTCTGCTATTAACAAATCAAACACTCCGCAATGGTTATTGTCAATAGATCTGGGAGAAACAAACAAACAAACAAACACAAAATCAAAACTAAAAACCGAAAACCACAAAAAAATCATGTTTTGTTATTTTTTCTCACATACAATATATTACTTATAAATGTTGGTATAGCAAATATATATGGAACAGCTTGAATTATTTGGAAGTTCAATTTTGGTAAAGTGGTCCATCCAAATCTCGCACATATATATATATATATGTGCGTGTGATATATATTGAACGAGATTATTATTTATTGGGCACGGTTTTATAAAGATTGTTGGAAAGGGAAAATTTATTTTTGTAATAAATGCTAGAAACATTACTACTAATTAGTTGTTATTATTTGCTACTATAGGCATATAACGTAAAATTGCAATTGTTAAAAAAACAATAATGCTGCCATTAACAATAACAACAACAATAAAATAACAACAATAACTATTTTACGATTTATTTAAATCCCAATCAAATACAGTCCAAAGTCAAATTAAATTCAAAAATAAAGTTTAAATTCAATCAAAAGTTTAAATTCAAATAAAAACATAATAATTTTTAATCGATTTCCAGTTTTCTTTTCACACACAATAATTATGTTTCAACCCCTTCACTCATTAATTCTTACTTTATCTAGATGTTATAAATGTTCTTAATTTCTTTTAAATATGACTTGATATTCTTAATAACGTAATATGAATTTCTATTCACATTTCCTATTTTAGAGATTACAAATTTGAATCATAAATTTGTATTTTTATTGGTCCATTTTTTCAATTGGTAAATCTCGGATATAATTTTAAAGTTAAAGATGATGATCACATCTAAATTGGAATATGATAAACAAGAAAAAAAAAAGAGTTCAGGAGACAAACTTATCTGATATATATATTTTTTGATTTAAAAATTATCATCAGCTAAAATGATGATATGAATTTGAAGTCATTCACCAAAAAACTTGCATATATATATATATAAGATAAAAAAGGAAAAACCATGTGTAATCAAATCAATCTTATGTAATTTTGATAAAAAATCTGGTGGAGAATCTCGCATTTATTATATATGATAAGATATGCAACAAGAATAAAAGAAGGGATTGAAGGGATGTAAAAATTTATCTTTCATTATCTTCAATCAACTTGTTTCATAGTGATATCAATATATTTATTCATAATAATTTTTTTATTTAAACAAATTTATATTAAACTATTTTGGTAAAGAGAAACGTTTAACTCGGTAATTTTTGTGCTATCTTGTGATTAACAGCTTTATGGAGAATATCTTTTTTTTTATGGATGTTTATTCATATGAATTGATCTTATTCATATCATCATCTCATTTTTTTTAGTATTAACAACATTATTATCCTGCTATATACTAACTAACTGTAGATGTTACACGAAAATAATATCACACGATTTTTTTGGATCCAAATATTAATATAAATAAAAAACAAACAATAAAATAATTGACAGATACTCCTAAAATTGAACGGAGAAAAAGAATGATGATGATATAGTAGTTGAGAAATATGAATGAAAAAAATTGTAAAGGAGGGAAATATTAAAGAATTAACAACTATTATCGGTAGTAGCACTCGCAATGTGGTGGTGCCACAGCTGCTAAAAACATAACAGCTGAAGATGAGGAAGATCCGGACTATGAAGCTGAAAGATGCTGGAAAAAGAACAAGAAAAATGGTATTTAACCGATGTATCATCATTGAATCTTGATAGTACTGGTGTGGTGGTGTCAGCTGAGAGATAAAGAAATGCAAAATTGGGATTGGTACATGTTCCTGGTATTACTGTTACTCTACTAGTTACAATTAAGGAGCAAAGAATTCTGATCGTTAATTAATTTTTAAATATTAATTAAATATTAATTTTTAAATATTAATTAAATTATACTTTAAATATTTAATTAATTATGCATCGCTATAATTTATTTACTATTACTTATATATTTTTGTTATTTGACATTTACAAATCATTGGTTACATTGTGTTTGGTGATGCCAAAATTGATGATCCCTAATTGGGACTATTGGTAGCAAGTCAATTTGAACCTAACGAACCGATAGCAAATTAATTTTTTTTTTGAGAACTTGTTCGGGTTTTTTCTTCCAAAAGTAATTTCAACCATCACAAAACTTTGAATTTGGTAAGCTTATACTTAAAAAACTACTTCTTTTTCTCAATGTGGTTTTTTACTAGATTAAGTCCATTGAATTTAATGACTAACATAAACATCATAATTTTCCTTCTTAGCGATATCTTTTTGGAATTACGATATTTCTTAATTCTATTAATTATCACAAGTATGCATTCAGCCCAAATTGTTTCACACCTGTATTAATAGTGAATGTCGTCAACTTGGGTTGAATATGCAATCAATCACAAATAACATTCATTACAGAATTGAATTCATTAGTAAAAAACCAGGACAAAATTCTTGGTTGTTATAGAGCAAAATTCAGTGTAGAAAATGAGGATAAACTGTATCTTGCTTTGAGAAAAATAGATTATATATATTAATTTATAAACTGTAAATATTTGGGTAATGAGGCCGTTTATTGATAAAATGTTAAAAATAAGCTACACGTATTGATTGAGTCATGCCTGTGTACAATGACATTTTCTATTTACTGATAAACTAAGCACAATATGCAAGATATAAAACATAATCTAATGTTTTCAGTAAAAATCACAATTCGGTGAATATTTGCTATTGTAGCCGTGCTATTAAGATCGTCTGTTGAATTTGGTATATATCATTGGTAAAAAGAACCAGTAGCAATGTAGAATGGAGCGTCATTGGAATAAAATGTGCCGATATTTTATGCATAGGAAAATTTTATCTTGTTTCACTTAAGAAAAACATGCATTAAGCGTTCATTACACCTAATAAAATAGGACTCTCTCGATAATCCAACACCATCTTTGGAGATTGTACACACTGACGCCAAAGCTTTGAAAAAATCTTTTAGAATATCAAATAGGAAGCTATACAGCCAACTTTTTTTTCAACGAATCAACATCAGGAAAACAGGTTTTTTGATACATGTTTTATGCATATTTTATTGGTAGATCGGTGGATTGCATATGTATTAATATGCAGTGAAAATTATATGCAAATGACATGTATTTTAAATGCAAATCCTCTGCTTTTGTTCAATAAAATACGCATATATTAATATAATTTGCTACTAGTTTTCCCGTGTGCCTCTTTTCCTGCGACTCGTCTGATAATTCGAGCTTGAGTGGACGAGTTAATTTCACAAAGCAATACTGAATCTTCTCCAACAATTGAAGATACATTTTTTTAAAAAAATAGAAAATTTCATTTTAATCTTATTAGTAATGTTATTAAATCCTGTAATTATTACGGGATTACGGCATTAACAACGTAAACCTGATAATATTAAGTACGGATCTGGACAATTCTTTTTTTCTACGGTGCGAATCATCAATTAATAAAAAAGTTGATTGATGTTTTATTGTTCATGACTCAGGCTTCAAAACTTTTTTCTTAAACTAAAAATTGACCGACCCTTAACATTTTGAAAATAGAAAATCATTATAATGTTTGATCATTTAGTTCAAATTATTGTAACACAAAAATTATTATTTGCTATATAGCATTTCTGAGCATTTTTAAAAAAAAGAACAAAAATTTTTTTACGTGAATTGACACTCTCTTTAAAGCCGAATTAAATGGTGGTGTTTTTTAAAAAATCCAACATGTAGATCATGTGATTCTTGAGTATGTATATATAGATAATCCGTTAAGTTTCTTGATAAGTCGAACAACATAAACTACTGTTACTATTGTACTATAATAATAGATGAGTCTGTCTACATGATTTTTGTAATACACAGTGAATCTCGATTTAGCAGCCAAGAAATTATCCGCTCAATCGAAATATCCGTAAAAACGAATTAGCGGATTTTATAATAAAAATCATGTGACATCAGTTAAATTTAAAATAATAAAATAATATATATATATAAACAAAAAAAAAATTTAAATTTATTTTATAGTATTCTTCAATCCTTGTTTGTACTCTTTCTTGAGAATTTTTGTAAGAAGTTTCCTTCTTTAATTTATTGACATTTCTAATTATTTGGAATCAATTTCCAAATATTTTTGTTGTACATATTTTGAGTGCAGTTTCCAAACCTTTTATAGCTTCTGTGCTTGTTTTTTTTTTTTAAATTGATAAAATTTTTTTTTTTTTGATTATAGACAAAGGTGGATATTTTTTATTTTCACGAATCATTATACAAGCCATAAATTTTAATTTTACAAATAATAAGTTTTATTTTACATTTAATTATTTTTAATTATAATATTAAGCTATTGTTTCTATTTTTTTCAAAAATATAGTCACTTTAAAATCAGTTATTTTTTAAATTTTCAACAGTAATGATCATCATTATCCGTTATATCGAAATAAATTTGTTAATGTACGACATGAAAAGGTTTAAAAAATATCCGGTATACCGAATATATATTGATATTAATATAAAAATCCGCTAAATCCGTTAAATCAAGATAAAATAACTATAAAAAAATTCTGTTCCGAAATTTTATCCTTAAATCCGCTAAATCGAGTTCCACTGTATTATGTGGGGATAAAATAAATTTAAAAATTTAACGATTTAAATTTTGAAGATTTAAAATCGTATGAATGGATATAAAATTTACGATTTGAATATTTGTATATATAAATAAAATAACAAATAAGGCGATTTTTGTTTTTACTTGTTACACGGGTAGCTCGATAAGTCGGTCCTCTCAATTTTACATTATTATTATCGAATACTTTAATAAATGACCGACTTATCGAGTTTACTGTGTGTCATATATTTAATTAATAATTGTCCTTTTCAACTCTATAATTTTTATTTTTTGTTTTGTAAAATCACATGTTGTGATAACTCGGATCCTTAGATTATCATGCCCAGCCACTTGTCTCCGACTTATCAAGTTTACTTACCTGTGTGTACAAGTGAACCTAATTTTTCTTGTAATGAATTGATAATAATTTATTTAAATTTATTAGATTGGAAGGAAAATAATTTTATTTTAAGAATTCTAGTTATTGGTAGAAAATATGTGTATATATTAGTCTTGAGGTCTCCTAAATTTGTCTAAACTTTAAAATATATATATAGAACTCAGAGTTTAACTTTATTAGTTGATAGAATAGGTCTTTCTCCAGTTTTAATGTAACTGTGATTTCTCAAAAAATCATTTGTATATTTAGAAACCCCGACTAAATTTAAATTTAAATTACACGAATACACGTTGACCTGTAAAATAAAGCCTTGCGTGCTACAATGCCTCCTAAACGTTAAAATGGCCAATTAAAAATTCAAGGGACTCTAAAGCACAAAAAGTTATCAAAAGATTTTAATGTTGAGAATAGTTCATAGATTTTTACCCAAAAAGGGACCCGGACACTTTACCCGACACCCACTTTATCGACAAGACCCTACGTGATATTTTAGCATTTTATTAGTTGTTTGATTGTGCGGAGATTAAATGTTACCCCGCGTGTTGTCGGTAAAGTGTCTTGTCGGTAAGGTGGGTGTCGGTAAAGTGACCAGACCAACAGGAGAAGACTGTTCTGGTAACACGAAATTTTAAACCCATGCAATTGTTGATTGGCCGATCGAAATCATGAATTTGATAACGTAAAAATAATTCATTTTGTCAACAACCACTTCACCAACAATTGTTTTGTTAACAAAATGGTTCAAATTTAAGATAGTCTAACAAATTAAATTGTACTACTCGAAAATGTTGGCTTTCGACTTGGTTGCAGAATAACTCTTCCTAACTCTTCTTTTGACCATATCTCTCGATATAATCAAAATAGCCTTAACATGATGAAATGTTGTAAACACAATCAATTTAAGATATATGATTAAACAAAAACATGAACGATGTATGAAAAAATCAAACAAATTTATTTAATAAAAACAAAATTTACAACCCAAAAATTTTTTTTGCATGTTCTAATAAAATTTCCATTGTTGCTGCATAATCTGTTGCTGATTCAACATTACCCGGATCATCATCAATTTTATTTTCGTTATTTTCGGTAAATTTAATATTTTTCGTCATACTTTCTTTTAGTGTGTTGACATTTTTTTTGATTTCGACTTGAAGATAGTCCAAGATATCAAACATTTAGATTGACACCTTTTTAGACAATGATTGTGATAACACGAGTACACTACAATTATTCAAATTAGTATAGTTAGTGTAATCACAATATACGTAATTGCAAAAAATGTTTGTAGATGATTCCCTGAAAGTAACAAAGTTTTAGTAATTAAAGGATACTGATTTTGTGCTTGATATACTGGTAGTATCATATTGTCTCTGGACGTGAATCTATGGTAATCGTCAACATTCAACAAGAATGTACTTTTTGAATATTTTGTAAATGCATTTTCTACATATTTCTCATGTTCATCTGCAACTTGCTTCTTTTTACGATCTACTGCTCTTGATGTTGTAGTTGCTCCAAGACTTGTATCTACCGGGTCTAAATAAAATGCAAGTCAATACTGATTGATGTCTCTTTTCATAATATAGCAAAAAGTATAGGATTTTTAAGAGACTTGAGAAGAATGAATGTTTCATTAACACGAGCCAAAAGTTCATTATTTATTGTTGGAGATTCAAAATCTTTAGAAACTAATGAAAACTGGAACAAACTAGTTTTAGATGCGAAGGAGAGAAATTTATTTACAAATGTACGTAATTGTTATTTCTACTCTGTATTTTTACTGAAACAATTAATAATAAATAACATTAATTACCATAGTGCTCAGATATCGAATATTGTAATTTTTTTAATTTATTTGGTGGAGTTGGTGGTACTAATGGTATTAAGGTATGTAAGTAAATAAATAATTTTATTATTTGCAAAAATTTCTGTTAATTTTTTTTCCATTCTTCATTGAAAAGACTAATTATTACAGAGCCAATCATTCTGATAACAAAAATAAAAACAATAATTATAATAATAATAGTTTTAATCACAATTATGACAACAGAAACAGCCACAACTACAACTACTATCATAATAATAACTACCATAATGACTATAATAATAGCTACGATAACAACAACTATCGTAAAAGGGTTCATGAAAAGAGTAATGATGAATCTAATAATAATGATGATAGCAATATCCCAAAGAAAGCCAGAATTGATTAAATCATTTATGGAAGATTACTTGAAACATAGATTCTAGATAGATTTCGTTATAGATTTATTTTGCTTAAATATCTTGTTATTACAATTAATAAACAAAATGGATAATTGAACATGTTGTATGTAAAAATCATTTCAAAACCTTGGTGCTTTTGGAATATAATTTTCCAAGTGTTTTAAGATGACTGGATAAGATGGTTAGAATCTGTTGGTTGGTGTATGTATTGGTGGTAAAATTCATTTTGGGTGCAATTCGCGTTATCTCATGTTCAGGCCTTCAGAGTAAAAATTTTAAATGTGATTTTTTCTTTTTTTCCCTTCGTTGTTATACGTTATTCCAAATTTGGTTGGTTTGGTTCTACAGATCGACATAAAATGATTTTTCTCCAAAGTCTGGTTGGTATTCAAAGGTTTGAGTGTTTTCTCGGAAGTATTGCGTAAAAGTTATCATAAAAATAAAAAAATGGTATTCTCAATATTTCTGTTATCCTCCAATTGAAATTTGTAGAACAGTCAAAAATCACATAAAACAATAAATAACTACCGATTAATATATTTTATTTTGGGATTGGTATTACTGTCGTATATTACTAATTATATTAATGACCAAAAACGTTTGATGTAACATTAAAAAAAACTCATATTAAAATGAAATGTCATTGATGTAATTAACTGCAATGACCGATCACCTGATTTCGATGTTCATTACATCTTCGGCAGAATGGTTTTACCCCAGAGAAAAAAAATTCCTTTTCTAAAATTGCTAATATAAAAGCAGTTCCATTACTTTTTTGGTAGTTATAAATCATAGAGCAAATGATCATTAAAATTTCTCGCGTTTTTTCATTGTTAAAAAAAAAGTCTCCCTCTTTTTTGTTAATATATATAAACAATTATTTATTGCTTCAAAATAATTTTAAAACTTTGATAAATTATAAAAATTATTTTGGCTCAAATTATCATAATCATATTTATAATCATACTAAATCAGCAATGGCAACAACTATTACAATGAAATCATCATCAAAAGCAACAATACCAAAATCATCACCATCAAAAGCAACAGAAACTACAATGCAAGCAACATCACCGTCGTCGACAACAATACCAACTTTTTCTTCATCAAAAAGATTTTCAACAAGTTTCTCTTATAAACAATTTTATCAAAAAATTTTAAAATCTAAAATGGCAAGTACAGGTCGGTTTATTTAAATTGATGAAATCTTGCATCTATTTATTTAACATGTCGTTCAATTAATACCCTCATTCTTTACACACACACACACACATAATGCAGATGACAAACAATCAAAAATACTTACCTATGAAACAATTAATTCTCATGTTAGGAAGGCAGAATATGCTGTTCGTGGAGAATTAGCAATTCGTGCTGATAATATTAAACAAGAATTATCCGAAAAATCCAATAAATATGATTTCAGTGAAATTGTAAGCTGTAATATTGGTAATCCACAACAACTTGATCAAAAACCAATCACATTCTTCCGTCAGGTAATTGACTAATCTAGTTATTAATTAATTATTTCTGTTTACTATTTGAATTATTTACATTTCTAAATTTCATTCCTGTTGATTTGATAGGTTATTTCTTTGTTGGAATACCCTGCTCTTTTATTACCAGAAAATTGGAATATAGCTAAGCAATTGTATCCTTCGGACGCAATCGAACGAGCAAAATTATTATCAAAACATATAAAAAGTGTAGGCGCCTACTCTCATTCTCAAGGTGTATTACACATAAGACAAAATGTCGCTAAATTTATAGAAGGTTAATACTTTTTTCGATATAATTAATTCATTCGATATAAATATTAATAATATTATGTGTCTTAATTACTAATTATTCCACAGAGCGTGATGGATATCCAACAGATCCAAATAACATTTTCCTTACTCAAGGCGCATCTATAGCGATTCAACATGTACTTCAGCTTATAATATCAAATGATAATGTCGGTATTATGATTCCTATTCCTCAATATCCACTCTATACTGCCACACTATCATTATTTAATGGTAATCCAGTCCCTTACTATTTGGATGAAGATAATGGTTGGAAGTTAGACATCAAAGAGTTAGATGAATCATTTGTAGAAGCCAAGAAAAAAGGATTAGATGTTAGAGCACTTGTGATAATAAATCCTGGCAATCCAACGGGTCAATGTCTTTCTGAGGATAACATTAAAGAAGTCATCGAGTTTTGTCATAGTAAAAGAGTAGTTATTTTGGCTGATGAAGTCTACCAGGCAAACATCTATCAACATGCCGAAAGACCATTCCGATCTTTCAAAAAAGTTCTCAAATCAATGGGAAAAGATTATGAAAATTTTGAATTGTTTTCTTTCCACTCTATCTCAAAAGGTGTGATTGGTGAGTGTGGTAAACGTGGTGGATATTATGAATGTACTGGCATCAATAAAAATGTGATTGATCAACTTTACAAGGTTGCTTCTATTAGTCTTTGTCCGAATGTTAGTGGTCAGATTATGGTGGATTTGATGGTTAATCCCCCAAAGATAGGTGATGAAAGCTATCCGACGTATAAACAAGAAACAGATGCTATTTACGAAAGTTTGAAAAGGCGTAGTCAAAAATTATGTGATTTGTTTAATAAATTAGAAGGTGTAACGTGTAATAGTGCTCAGGTATATTTTTTTTAAATGTTATAATTCTTGTATATATATTATACTTGTTATACTAAACTTTTTTAAATAAAAGGGATCGATGTATCTTTTCCCAAGAATTAAACTTCCACCAAAAGCAATAAATATGGCAAAAGAATTGGGTAAACAACCTGATGAACTTTATTGTTTTGAGATGCTTGAGGCAACAGGTGTCTGTGTAATACCTGGCAATGGTTTTAGACAAAAAAAGGACACTTGGCATTTTCGTAGTACTTTTCTTCCATCAGAAGAATTGTTTGATGGATTTTGTAAAAAAATAGAAGAATTTCATAAATCATTTCTTTTAAAATATAGTGGTGCTGATTAATTAATAAATTACATAATAATCATTAAAATGCTAATTAATCAATTATGGATGGGCTTGTCATATTAAATTAATTTATTTTTATTCTAATTAATTTTTTTTTTAATATTTATTTATACACATTACACATGTTTGTATCACGTTTTCTTCTTTTTTGGAAATCTTGCAAATGTCAAAAAATAAACTTGATAAAAAAAAAAACAATATTTAATGTTCATCTCTATTGAAAAAAATATCATCCATCAAAAAATAACTTTTTACTAAAAATCTTTTTTTTTCACAAAATATTAATTATTTTTAAGAAAAAACAAACCTTTTAGAAACAAAATGTTTTCCGGTACAAAAACAGGGTGGGAATTATACGAAGAATTTGAATCCGAGTTTTCACCATCAGCTGTTGTCGCATTGTTTCATCAAAAATTAAAATACCAGTTACCACCAACATACACTTACGACAGGAAGGTCAATAGAAAATACTCGTGTAAATTAACTTACGAGAACGAAGAGTGGGAAACCGAACAATTGTACGACAGACAAAAGGATGCAAAAAATGGTGTAGCTAAAGTAGCGTTAAAAACCTTAACATATCGTTATCCAAAGTTGGCGATTACCATCCAACAAATCCTCGAAATGAGATGTAAGTTAGGCCCCAAGCGACTAGTGTTTGGAAATGGTGTTCATCAAATGGCAAAAAACATTGCCGAAAAAATTTCAAGACCACCATCCGATATCTGGCTCGAGACACAACAACCATTAACACCACATAGAACACTTTTAGCCGACTTCATGTTGAATTATAACCTTGGAAATCCAGTTTATGTTGACATTATACCACCATTACGACCAGTAGGGATTAAATATATTAACCATCGCAACGATGTTACGATTTCCATTGCAAAAACTATAGCTGATGCTGCTACCCATTCACCACCAGCAGCTGATGCTGCTACCCATTCACCACTAGCAGTTGATGCTGACTCTAATACTACAAAAAAAGGATTATTTTATGTTTCTGTTATTGTTGGAAAACGCAAATTCAATCCATCAAAAGGATTTGAAATCAAGCCCGAGGCACAAGATCACGTTGCTGCTATAGCCCTTGAAATTTTGCATAAAGAAATTAGATCAGATGAAATGAAAATCATTCGTGAAAAAAGTATAGCATACCAAAAGTCAATTGGAAGAATTCCCGACGATGATGTCATTTTTGATAATGGCATTTTTGATTATATACCTTCTCATAAGGACGAGTTTAATGATCTTGAGTTGCTAGTGGAAGTCGAAGTAAATGATATAGAAGAGGAAATAAATACAAACTGTAGAAGTCAATCATCTTTAGTCAAAGAAGGAGGACCATCACATCACGGAAATCAACCATCTTTAGTCAAAGAAAGAGGACCATCACATCACGGAAATCAACCATCTTTAGCCAAAGAAGGAGGGACATCACATCACGGAAATCAACCATCTTTAGTCAAAGAAGGAGGACCATCACATCACGGAAATCAACCATCTTTAGTCAAAGAAGGAGGGCCATCATCAAATCACGGAAATCAACCATTTTTAGTCAAAGAAGGAAGACCATCATCAGATCACGGAAATCAACCATCTTTAGTCGAAGAAGGAGGACCATCATCAGATCACGGAAATCAACCATCTTTAGCCAAAGTAGGAGGGCCATCAGATCACGGAAATCAATCATCTTTAGCCAAAGAAGGAAGACCATCATCAAATCACGGAAATCAACCATCTTTAGTCGAAGAAGGAGAACCATCATCAGATCACGGAAATCAACCATCTTTAGCCAAAGAAGGAGGGCCATCAGATCACGGAAATCAATCATCTTTAGCCAAAGAAGGAAGACCATCAGATCACGGAAATCAACCATCCTTGGTGAACGAAATAAGACTATCGGATCCATCATCTTTAGTTGAAGAAGGAAGACAATCAGATCACGGAAATCAATCATCCTTAATGAGCGAAAGAAGGTCATCAGACTACAAAAATCGAAGAATACCATTATATTCACCTTCTTTAGTGGAAAAAAGAAGTCGTTTTTACCACAGAAATCCAAAAGATCTTCCTTTGTTCACTAAAGATAAAGTGGACAAAAGAAGATATCTTGGAGACCGATCATCTTTAGTGAAAAAAAACCATATTGACCGCAGAGATCAATTATCATTGGCGAAAGAAAGAAGAAGACATTTGTACCGTAGAAAGCAATCGACCTTAGAAAGAAGACATTTTGGAGATCGATCATCTTTAGTGAAAGAAGGAAGTCACTTTTACCACGGAGATCGACCATCTTTAATGAACAAAAGAAGATATTTTGGAGGTCAGTCATCTTCAATGAAAGAAGGAGGACCATCAAATTACAGAAATCAAACAACTTTAGACCACGGAAATCGATCATCCTTGATGTGGGAAAGAAGACAATCCGACAACGACAATCAATCATATTTTGGAGGTCAGTCATCTTCGATGAAAGAAGGAGGACCATCAAATTACAGAAATCAAACAAGACAATCCGACCACGAAAATCGATCATATTCAGTGAACGAAAGAAGACTAGACTACGAAGATCGATCATCTTTAATGAACAAAAGAAAACGTTCTGAAGATCAATCATCTTCAGCAAACAAAAGAATACATTTAGACCATGGTCGTTATTTTTCATCTAAAACATTTATAGAATTGGTATACGAATTTGCAGCAAAAACACACGTTATAAAACCTAGATATCAAATTCTCGAAATAAAAGATACAGATAAATTAGATAAATTTTACTCAAAAATGTTTCTCAATGGGGTTGAATACACGGGAAGAATTCAATCCAACGAAATACTTGCGAAGGAATCAGTAAGCCTAATCGCTTATGAATCTATAGTAAATTCGATGAAAAGAAATTAATATAATAAATAATTTAAGGAAATGATAATGAATTAATTTGCAAAATAATAGTAATAATAATAGTAATAATAATAATCATAATAAAATAATAATAATAATAAAATAATAATAAAATAATAATAAAATAATAATAATAATAGCAATAGCATAGTAATAATAATAAAATAATAGCATAACAATAATAAATAAAATAATAGCATAATAAAATAATACCATTCTTATTTTTATAAATTGTCAACATTTGTTGTTATCATATCTTTTGAATCCCTTTGAATCTCTCAACTTTCGTAAGATTTACTCGAAAAAATGCCTGAAATTTAAACGTTGCACAGAATGTAAAACCACTGACTGAAAGGCAATAAATGGAAGGAAGTTGAGAACAATAACTTAGTGAAAGTAACGTGTTGTTTTACGTAACATTTGTTATATGAATTTTGTAGAAAATCCTTTAAAAAGAGAACCTGGGAGAGTAAAAACCGCAGTTGCGGAAAGGGAAGAGGAAGAGGAAGAGGTAAGTGAAAAGATTGATTTCACTAGAGCCATCAAGGTCCTATATACGATTTTGATGAAATACGAAGATTGCTCCAAGAAATAGAACCAAGCTTGAAAAGGTTTTTTGACCAACTCTATTTAACAGCTCGGTCATTTGAACGTAATAAACAAATAATGGACCATATGAAGAGATTAATGGTGGTGTTCATGTGTTATCTTCTTGTTTTATTAAATAATACAAAA